GGGGTTAAACTGAGGGGAGGGTATGATCAAGATACATTGTGTACAAGTATGAAATTTCCAAAGACTAAATTACATTTTCAGCAATGGTGACAGTATGCACAAGACCCATGGAGACTCAAACCAGACAAAAACCCAGCAAAGATGAGGGGAAAGGGTAAGAAGTCCCCACCTTAACTGAGATGCTATTGGCAACTGATGACTGCTAGGTGAGAGACAGTTGGTCATCTTTAAGGGAGTGATGCTAGATAGACCAACCAGGCTATGGTAGATGATTTCTGAGGGGGATCTGGGGACATGAACTTAACGCAATAGGCCTTAACTTATAGGATAGAATGCATGAAATCTGGCGTGGGGCATTATGGAGGGATGCAGATAAGGGAGGGATCTAAACATGATTAAGATATATTGCAAGAAATGCATAAAAATTTAATAGGAATAATAATTAATAATAAATAAGCCAACTATTGCATAACTTTAGTTAGTATTAATCATATTTTCTAAAATCTAATATGGATACTTATTTGAATAAAATTTAAAATGCAGCAATTTAGTTCCATTTAATGAATGAATTTAATATGTAAGCATGTGTTGAAAAGTTCCGGAGAGTGATTTAGCAATGGTATGGTCCCAAACCGATGCACATATGAGCAGGACTAATGGGACCCAATGAACTATAAGGTTGAGAAGAGGACATATCGAGGAGGATGGGGAGGATAATTGGCAGTGGGTAAAGGGAGGGAGATAAATGTGGTATTTCATTGTACATCTATCTAAAATTCTCAAGAATAAAAAACACAAAATGGTTAAGAACATTGTCTTTACTTCATAACAGAGGTTACTTAACCTTAAATTCACAGGGACAAGTCTCTGAACTCCGTTATTCATGAAACTGGAAACATTCCTATCAGAAACCTGAAACATAATGGACAACTGTGACTAACCTTGGCACGTGGGTCCTGCAAGCTCTTAGTCTAAGTCACAGATGTGACATAGGGGTACCCAAGCTTGCTCTTGTTTTGAATTTTCTGCTGTGTTCGAATCAATCCTGAAATTTTTCAGTAGAAGTTTCCTCTGTGTGATGGCTTGAATAGAATATTCTCCACAGCCTTGTACTGTCTTTCTGTAGCTGCTCAATGGTCTTGTAAGTACTGAAAAAGACAAATACTTCAAATCTACTTTTTTTTAAATAGAGTCTAAAATACTTCATCTTTTTAAATGCCATAAGAGTAAATGGAATTTCCCCTAAAGTAGTTTGTAATATTTGCAATGTCTTAAGAATACTTTGTAACAGTTCAAATTTCTCTTTACAGGCATATATAATTCTAGAATGACTCTTTACTAAGTAGCAAGTATTTCAAACAATTTGGGAGGGAAAAATGGGAATCAATATGTGGTTTTACAGGCAACATTGTTGCCTGCTGGAAGGGCTGTACTAATTTTTTCTATAAAGTTATTATAAATACTTGTATGTGAAGAATACCAAGGTGACATGGTGGATATATTAATTAGTTTCCCTAGAGTAAAATTTCAAAATGTTTAAGTACATTGAATCAGGTTGAACTGCTTCAAAATATAGAATCGAAATGTGACTAAATCCTATGAATCTATTTGGTAAGCCATTTTATGGAATTGTCATCATCCTTCAATGGCATTTTCAAGCATTTGTTTGTACTGTCTATACATTCTACTCATTAGGAGAAATTAAGGATCGGGCACTGATGAATCATTCAGAGAAACAACCTCTAAGGGTAAGGACAAAATATGGTTGGTGACCAAAGTGACTAAAGCAGTTCCTGGGATTAGTCCATAACGTCTTTACTAAGTATTCAGACTTGGGCCATGATCTTTTGGTCTTCTAAAAAGCCATTTTCCCACACTGACTTAGTAATTATACTTAATCAGTGTATGAACTGTAATTGAGTCCATGCCTGCATTAATCCTTTCCTATATCATTAGTAGGCCTATTTAAGCAACCAGAAAAACTCCGCAGAATAGTTTGACTCCAGACTACCTCAGTGTAGCACCAAAGATAGCAAAGGTAATTTATCAAGTGCCAGAGTAGTGTAAGCGATATTAGTCCTCTGAGTTTACAATCTAATCTTCCCTCAAACACTTGATATTGCCAATACGTCTACTTAAGAAAAATTCATAACATTGAGCTGTATGACTCAGTAAGACTTGTATACTTAGCTGAAATTTCAACATATCAGCTTAATTATAATGGAATAATGAGGAAGAAAGCCACACAAAATCAAAAGCAGGTGGAGCAAGGTTATTTAGTGTGCAAATGCGGGGCTAATTTACCGGCACTAATTGCAAAATATTGTTGTTGGCTTTGCTGTCTACTGTTGTCATGAAGATTTTTCACTAAAAAGCAGGTTAAAATAAAATCTAGCATCTTAACTCACTTTCTGGGATTCTGTGCATTGACTTACTTGTCTCTTTTCTGTCTCAGTGAAAATGTAACCTTTAACTGTTCTCGGTATCTTTCCTTATACGTTTCCAACTCAGTGATAGCAGAAGCTTCTTCAGATTTTAGTTTCGCGAGCTCAGATTCCTTTTCTCTAACTATGCCTTCCATTTCGGTTCTCAGTGCAGCGACAGAATCATTTCTTCTCTGCTCTTCCAGACGATCAGCTTCAGTTTTCAGCTAAACAAAAGTTAACACTTCATTGTAGAATCAGTGTATTCAGTGATCCTTACATGATTTTATCATTAGTTTTCAGTCAGTGATAGAGAAAATGATATTAAATATCTGCAAAAGATACTGGACTTTAAAAATATTTACCAACAATATCAACTTCATTACATCAGAGTTATTTAAAAATGAATCTGTGTACACAAACTTGACTCGATAGGATTTAACATATATGAAAAATGCATGACGTCCTGTGGGTGGGCTATGGGGCACACAGGAAAAGGGAGCTAAATATGTTAAAGATGCATGAAATCCACAATGATTCAATAAAGATATATTTTTAGAAATGAATCCTTATTTTATTTTGTGGATTGACCCCATAGCCTCATGCATACCAAGGAAATGTTCTAATGGTGAGTTATATCCTGAGGCCTGAAATATTCTTGTTAGTACACATGCAATATGATACTTCAAAAAAGTAATATGATCAATTTAATAATTGGATTTATCAACAGTTGAATAGTACTTTACAATTTCTGTGCAACAATTTCATCTTTCCCCAAGCAGCCATATTTTACTAAGTAGTCTTAAAGCTCAGGCGACTCTCTACAATCATAAAAGATGAATTTCCTTAATATTATTTTAAACTGAAATATTTAACAGAAGAAACAGATGTCTTCTTGTTTTTACAAATGCACAAAACATTGCTACAAGGAAAGAAGAAATACATGTGAATTATACATCAAAATACAATTTTTAGTGCAAAAGCAATTGTAACTAAATATAGTAACCTGTAAAACTTGAAGAATACGATTAAATTCTTTGAAGGTTTTCTTTGCCTCTCTTTGTAAAACCTCTTGTAAATGCTTTTCCGCATCCTTTTTATCGATCATATTCTCCTTTATGTGAGTTTTGAGGCTGATGACTTCTTGTTCAAGTTTCTTTTCTAAAAGAAGTTTCTCTTCTATATCCTTTTCTTCTTCCTCATTTGCCCAGTCTGAATTTGTGATAGCAGCCCTCTCCACTCTTCAACTAAAGCCACCTGTCCTATGGTCTCTTCAAAATTTAATAGGAATAATAATTAATAACAATAAATAAGCCAACTATTGCATGGTATAAATTTAGTTAGTATTAATCATATTTTCTAAAATCTAATATGGATACTTATTTGAATAAAATTTAAAATGCAGCAATTTAGTTCCATTTAATGAATGAATTTAATATGTAAGCATGTGTTGAAAAGAAAAGTTCCAGAGAGTGATTTAGCAATGGTATGGTCCCAAACCCATGCATATATGAGCAGGACTAATGGGACCCAATGAACTATAAGGTTGAGAAGGGGACATATCGAGGAGGATGGGGAGAATTGGCAGTGGGAAAAGGGAAGGAGATAAATGTGGTATTTCATTGTACATCTATCTAAAATTATCAAGAATAAAAAATACATAAAATGGTTAAGAATGTTGTCTTTACTTCATAACAGAGGTTACTTAACCTTAACTTCACAGGGACAAGTCTCTGAACTCCATTATTCATGAAACTGGAAACATTCCTATCAGAAACCTGAAACACAATGGACAACTGAAACTGTGACTAACCTTGGCAAGTGGGTCCTGCAAGCTCTTAGTCTAAGTCACAGATGTGACATAGGGGTACCCAAGTTTGCTCTTGTTTTGAATTTTCTGCTGTGTTCGAATCAATCCTGAAATTTTTCAGTAGAAGTTTCCCCTGTGTGAAAGTCTGAACTGTTCATTCTCCACAAGAAGCCTGGCATTGTCTTTCTGTAGCTGATCAATGGACTTGCGAATACTGAAAAACAAAAATACTTCAAATCTCCCTTTTTTTCTGAAATAGAGTCTAAAATACTTCATCTTTTTAAATGCCATAAGAGTAAATGGAATTTCCCCTAAAGTAGTTTGTAATATTTGAAATGTCTTAAGAATACTTTGTAACAGTTCAAATTTCTCTTTACAGGCATATATAATTCTAGAATGACTCTTTACTAAGTAGCAAGTATTTCAAACAATTTGGGAGGGAAAAATGGGAATCAATATGTGGTTTTACAGGCAACATTGTTGCCTGCTGGAAGGGCTGTACTAATTTTTTCTATAAAGTTATTATAAATACTTGTATGTGAAGAATACCAAGGTGACATGGTGGATATATTAATTAGTTTCCCTAGAGTAAAATTTCAAAATGTTTAAGTACATTGAATCAGGTTGAACTGCTTCAAAATATAGAATCGAAATGTGACTAAATCCTATGAATCTATTTGGTAAGCCATTTTATGGAGTTGTCATCATCCTTCAATGTCATTTTCAAGCATTTGTTTGTACTGTCTATACATTCTACTCATTAGGAGAAATTAAGGATCGGGCACTGATGAATCATTCAGAGAAACAACCTCTAAGGGTAAGGACAAAATAAGGTTGGTGACCAAAGTGACTAAAGCAGTTCCTGGGATTAGTCCATAACGTCTTTACTAAGTATTCAGACTTGGGCCATGATCTTTTGGTCTTCTAAAAAGCCATTTTCCCACACTGACTTAGTAATTATACTTAATCAGTGTATGAACTGTAATTGAGTCCATGCCTGCATTAATCCTTTCCTATATCATTAGTAGGCCTATTTAAGCAACCAGAAAAACTCCGCAGAATAGTTTGACTCCAGACTACCTCAGTTTTACACCAAAGATAACAAAGTTAATTTATCAAGTGCCAGAGTAGTGTAAGTGATATTAGACCTCTGAGTTTATAATCTAATCTTCCCTCAAACACTTGAAATAGTGAATATGTCTACTTAAGAAAAATTAATAACATTGAGCTGTATGACTCAGTAAGACTTGTATACTTAGCTGAAATTTCAACATATCAGCTTAATTATAATGGAATAATGAGGAAGAAAGCCACACAAAATCAAAAGCAGGTGGAGCAAGGTTATTTAGTGTGCAAATGCGGGGCTAATTTACTGGCACTAATTGCAAAATATTGTTGTTGGCTTTGCTGTCTACTGCTGTCATGAAGATTTTTCACTAAAAAGCAGGTTAAAATAAAATCTAGCATCTTAACTCACTTTCTGGGATTCTGTGCATTGACTTACTTTTCTCTTTGCTGTACCAGTAAAATGTAAACTTTAACTGTTCTTGATATCTTTCCTTATACATTTCCAACTCAGTTTTAGCAGACTCATTTTCAGATTTTAGTTTTGTGAGCTCGGATTCCTTTTCTTTAATTATGCCTTCCAATTCAGTTCTCAGTGAAGTGACAGAATCATTTCTTCTCTGCTCTTCCAGACGATCAGCTTCAGTTTTCAACTAAACAAAAGTTAACACTTCATTGTAGAATCAGTGTATTCAGTGATCCTTACATGATTTTATCATTAGTTTTCAGTCAGTGATAGAGAAAATGATATTAAATATCTGCAAAAGATACTGGACTTTAAAAATATTTACCAACAATATCAACTTCATTACATCAGAGTTATTTAAAAATGAATCTGTGTACACAAACTTGACTCGATAGGATTTAACATATATGAAAAATGCATGACGTCCTGTGGGTGGGCTATGGGGCACACAGGAAAAGGGAGCTAAATATGTTAAAGATGCATGAAATCCACAATGATTCAATAAAGATATATTTTTAGAAATGAATCCTTATTTTATTTTGTGGATTGACCCCATAGCCTCATGCATACCAAGGAAATGTTCTAATGGTGAGTTATATCCTGAGGCCTGAAATATTCTTGTTAGTACACATGCAATATGATACTTCAAAAAAGTAATATGATCAATTTAATAATTGGATTTATCAACAGTTGAATAGTACTTTACAATTTCTGTGCAACAATTTCATCTTTCCCCAAGCAGCCATATTTTACTAAGTAGTCTTAAAGCTCAGGCGACTCTCTACAATCATAAAAGATGAATTTCCTTAATATTATTTTAAACTGAAATATTTAACAGAAGAAACAGATGTCTTCTTGTTTTTACAAATGCACAAAACATTGCTACAAGGAAAGAAGAAATACATGTGAATTATACATCAAAATACAATTTTTAGTGCAAAAGCAATTGTAACTAAATATAGTAACCTGTAAAACTTGAAGAATACGATTAAATTCTTTGAAGGTTTTCTTTGCCTCTCTTTGTAAAACCTCTTGTAAATGCTTTTCCGCATCCTTTTTATCGATCATATTCTCCTTTATGTGAGTTTTGAGGCTGATGACTTCTTGTTCAAGTTTCTTTTCTAAAAGAAGTTTCTCTTCTATATCCTTTTCTTCTTCCTCATTTGCCCAGTCTGAATTTGTGATAGCAGCCCTCTCCACTCTTCAACTAAAGCCACCTGTCCTATGGTCTCTTCAAGGTTTTCTTTGCCTCTCTTTGTAAAACCTCTTGTAAATGCTTTTCCGCATCCTTTTTATCGATCATATTCTCCTTTATGTGAGTTTTGAGGTTGATGACTTCCTGTTCAAGTTTCTTTTCTAAAAGAAGTTTCTCTTCTATATCCTTTTCTTCTTCCTCATTTGCCATAGTTCGCAATTTCTCCTGAACAAGTTTATGTTTTCCTTTCAGGCATTCCAAATATAATGATGCGCGTTTCACTTGTGCTGTGACATCATCAATCTGCATCAATAAATTCATATTTTTGGAAGATGATGAATTTGCCAGTAAAGTTATAGAAAGAAAATCAGTCACCAGGCCATAGAGATGAACCAGCAGTAAAAACACTTGCTGCCAAGCCTGACAACTTGAGTTCAATCCTTAGAACCCACATAGTGGAATGGGAGAACTGCTTCCCACAAGTTGTCCTCTGACCTCCATGCACACCTTGACACATGTACTCACACACACACACACACACACACACACACACACACACTCATTATATTAAAAGAAACTAACTCTGGTTTTGTTCCTGGGCTATGCAGCCTCCAATGTCCTGGTACCAGCACCTTCTGTGGGTAAGTCCAGTTTGCCCACCATGCCTTGATTTCCCCAGCCTCTTTTACTCTCCCAGTGCCCCCACTGCATCTCTTCTCCTAGCCTTGGTACAGGCCCATTTCTTGTATTGGCACCTCAAACACCAGGGCTAACCGTTCGGCCCAGAGCTACCACTGCTTACTGATCCTTTGCATCCTGACCAACCCAGTTCCTACCTGCAGGCCCCAGGAACCCTTTGGATGTGGTCCCACCCTCACCTCCCTTTACTTCCCTGGGTGGCACAGCCATCAGCTTCCCGAGACCAGCATCTATCCTGGGCCCTCCTTCAAAGCCAGGACAGCCCCCAAATTCCTGAGGGCAGCATCTTTCCTGGAGGGACCCAGACCTTAGGAGAAAGCCTGAGAGCATCTGAGCCTCATCTCAACCGGGGATCTGTGGGCACTCCCGAAGAGAAAATCAATTAGACCACTACAATATAAAATCAGAAGAGAGAACCTGAAGCCTAGACCAACCAGCTTTTCAGGCCCAACAAGTAAACCACAAAGGCACATAAAGTTTACAAAAAGAAAGAAATCTAAACTCAATGAAGGAAGGCTTAAGTATCACACAAGAATCAGAAACTATGAAAGAAATTCACATGTCAAAGTGACAGAGAAAAAATAATAACATGAAAAACCAAAACAATATATCCCCACCAAGTACCAATAGTCCTCTAGGAGTACAATGAGAACTCCCTAGAGATAACACAGGACATGGAACACAAAAGAACAATTATAAACATAATAAAAGAATTCAGTGAATTTAAAGAACACACAAACAAAGAAATCAAAGAACTGAAGGAAGA